AAAAAAAAAAAAAAAAAAGAAACAAGGGTAGAGCTGTGACCTGGGGAGGTTTGATATTACTGATTCCCTCCATATCTGAAATACCTGTGCTGGGCTATTCCTATAGAGAAGGAATGGAGCCTGACTTCAATTCTAGGTCAAGACTGAGTTCCAAAGGGAAAGGGTTGGAGTTTCATCCTTCTTCCCTTGCCCAAGAAGGGTGAGGTTCATGCAAACGGGGCAGATACCAAGGATGGGACCACCAACATTTTTTACTCTGCTTCCTTGCATGAATGGACTAAAGTGGTGGTTCTAAGAGAAGGATGGAGCAGCATCTTGACATCTTTTCTCAGGCAGCCTGGTGAGGATTGACCATAGGGAACTCATCCTGCCTCTTTCTCTTATCTGGGCAAAGGCAGGTCCCATAGGGCAGGAGTGAGGCTATGATCTCCAAGGGGTGGGGTTTAATTTCACAACATCATCCTGAAGTCTGAAAGACCTGTGCTAGGCTATTCTACTGGGGAAAGGATAGGGACTCATCTAACTCCTTTTCTTTGCCTGATTATCTCCCCTCAGAATCCCTGGGTAAGATAGTTTCATGAGGGGACATACAGGGGGAAAGGTAGGACCTCATTTTGACTTGCCCTCCTTTCCTGAGTGAGGAAACACCAGGGAAGGGATGAGATCTGATCATGACTCCTCCTCCATGCTGAAGCTGCTACCACAGCTGCTGGCTTTGGAGACAACAGGGGACACTGAGGAGAGTAGAGGGTCAGAGGCAGGTCGCAGTGGAGACAGGGTGCCCCCTGACAGCCCTCCCACCACTCTCTTCTTCTTCCATCAGAATGTCTTCCATCTCCAGGCAGAAGGGGTCCCCCAAATCCGCTAAATGGTCACTGGTAAAGTGTAGGTCCAGAAGAGCACCTGAAGGTGGTGCTGGGGACTGTTGATGAGAAGCATTTGGAGCGGATGCTCCTCCCATGTGAAATGTGCTTGGCCTGCCCTCTTTCTCAAGGTCCAGTTGCTCTGGCTTGAGACTATTAGAAGCTGAAGCTGTGGCCAGAGAGAGCAGTCCTGGGGTGGGAAGTACTGGCAGACCATGGATTTGGGCTTGCAGTTCTAGTTCCTGAATTCGGAGCTGTAGGTTATGGTTGGCCTGTTCCAGGGAGCGCTGCCGGCTCTCCAAGTCTTTGGAACGCTGTTGCTCCTTCTGCAATTGGCGGTTATAATCCACAGAAGCCTTCAGGATGATGCCCTTATTCCAGCGCATCTCCGGGTCACTGGATTTGGGGATGAGGGTGCCCAGTTCCTTGATCCTGTCGTTACTGTTGAATCACCTGCGATGCTCATTTAGGTTGTGATTGTCTTTTTTCTGCCTTTCTTTCAAAAGTGCCTTTGCCTCTGTCTCAGAGATCTCCTGCTTGATGTTGGGGAATTTAGCTGGGCAGGAGTTGCTGACAATGATGGCTGGTGTGGCCACACCCTGACTACTGTATACATCAAGATTCCCTGACACAGGCAGCATGCTGCGGAGCTGCAGCCCAGCATTGCCTACAGGCAAATAATTGAGCATCTCATCTTTATAACTGGACTCCAAGCAGATGATCTCATTAATGACATCATCGATCTTTTTCTGAACTAGACCCAATGGTAAGCAGTGCCATGGGACTGTTAGGAGCACTTGCTGAAGGGCCAATAGCATAGACAGTCTCAGGGGCAGGGAGAGGCTGGGCAATAATAGGCCCTGGAGGTGGGGCAAGGGCCTGGGAGGCCAATTTGGAACCAAGTGTAGTTGACAGGTATTGTTTCACCTGTTGCCAATGTGCCTGTTGTAGGTGGTAGCGTGTTGGGTTTTCCAGATGAGTCTCTACCTTGAGCACGTCTCTGGGCACCTGAGCAGGGGGTGCACGGCCCAATGTATGGCCACCAGCAGAAACACCAACTACAGAAATAGCAGGAGAGGTAGTTGCAGGACTAGGGAAGGGAGTGGCTGCAGCCTGTTCTTGATGTTCACGCCTCTCCTGCTCCTGGGCTTGGGCCTGCATTAACTGTTGCAGCAGCAAGACTCATGATGAAGATGATGATGATATGGCACGGTTCCTGGAGCCCCCTACAGAAGATAATGCAGAGTGTGTAGCTGGAGTGGCTGGTGTAGACTGCAATGATAATGGGAGGCTCGAGCATAGGGGTAGGAACTGGCTTTTGAGTTCATAGAAGTTGTCAGGATCAAGGATGTTTTCAAATTCGATGTCAGCAACAATTCCCAATTCCAGAAGCAGAGTTCAGGCTGAGCAGCTGGGCTGAGTGGGCTGGCCTGAGCTCCTCCAACAGCACAAAGACGGCTTGAGAGCTCTCTGTGCTGGCTTCTATGCTGTCTCAAGCTGTTTTGTCCACGAGACATGACGTCTGGCACCGGCAAAGCTCTACCAGACCGGTCGGGCCTCAGCCTGGCCCCCCTAACAAAGTAAGTGTTCCCTCTCCCTCCCCTCCATCGCCACAGCCTCCTTCGCCACTAAGCCATGGAGCCAACTCTCTTCTCAGTGCTTTTTGAAATGAAGGCTGAGTTAGGCCAGACCATCACTCAGAGGCAAGAGCAATATGAAGACTGATGAAAATGAAGACCCCTCAACTTTATTATTTTCATGTTAGTTTACTACAGAACCAGCAAATATGTGGTGCCCCTGGCATACTGCAATCAAGATTACTTGTTGTCAAGAGTGGGAGTGACTACTGGCCTCTTCCTTCTTCCTTATAGAAATGCATTCAAAATTTGGGGCCAGGTGAGGAAAAAAATTCAGTGGAGCCCAAAGGTTTGGCTCACTTTCTCTCAGACTGGTGGGGAAACTGGGGGATTAGCTTCATCAGTTCATGTTTATTCTGAGATCTGATTTCTTGCCATATCAAGTACATAAAACCTAGTTCTTCTTTTTCTTTTGCTGGCAATGAGTCTACAGTGTAGCAACCCTGATTTGGACCCATCAGAAAGACATTCAGTAAAAGTTTAAAGAATATAGTGGCACTACATTACTCATGAATGCCATGTAAAAATCAAACCACTTTATATAACTGGCAAAGGAAACAAAGTGTAAATATCAAAGCAATTTTGAAACTGTTCAAATAATTGACTTGTCAAATGCTTCTCTTATATCTCTAATCTTTATAAAAGAGAAATCTCTTTCTCTCTCTTAAAGCTTTAAGCCCTCTTAAAGCAGCTCAAGTGGTGAAATCTCAAACTCCAAGAAGAAACATTCATAGAAAAGTATTTGGAACCCAAAAAGTCTTTATAACACATTTTATAAGATGGAAAGGCTGTGATTTATTTTCAAATATTTGAAACAGTTTTCAGAAAAAAGAAAATGACAAAAAATACATACAAAAATTGTAAGTTACTCACTGAACTAAAGATCTTATTACAGGAAGGGACTTTCAAAGTACTGGTGTCCACCCCTCTCTGAAAGTAGGAGTCACTCTTCAATGATCCCTCAGATGTTTAACTAGCCTCCTAAAGTCTCTTCCAAGTCTGATGCACTTCATCTCACAAGAAGAACACAAACAACTCTGAATCATTTAAAACAAAAGGAAGACTGAAAACAAGGGAGGCAGATCTCTCAGGTGATGTACTTTTTAAAGAAAGGTCACATCCTTGGAGCAGCTTTGCAATATGCAGAGCACAGTACTGGCTTCAGAAAAATAAGGACTCTGTGCACATACATTATTAAATTATGAAGAGCTTCTGCCATTCTCTACAAAAATTAGCAGGCTATATTCATCCAGGTACATTACCTGTACTTCATATAGTTTTAAACTTGGAATGAAGCGGAAACAAAAACTCCCCTTTTGCCCCCAAATAAAACAAAACAAAACAAAGCTAATGCAGACCTATTAAACATACATGCATACAAATTTTGTGAGATATGAGCAAATTAAAATTAATCTTACACAACAAATTTCTAATTACATAACTAAGTTATTTCCATGGTCAGAAGATCCTGGTTAAAACACAGAAATATATAAAATTGTAGCAGTAAGTAAACATGATTATTTGGTTCCTTTCAAAAGGTCTCCTGGTCCATCTGCCATGCACTCCCGCTTCTGGGTGTTCAGCGAAGTGTAACCAGTTCTTCTGAAGAGGTAGGGTGAATAGCAACTGTGTTGTCAAAGTCGGCCTTGGTGGCTCCCATTTTTACAGCCACAGCAAAACCCTGAAGCATTTCATCACACCCAATTCCTTGCATATGGATCCCAACTACCTGAGGGGAAATAATTACTTTTTAAGTTAAATTACATATTAATTGCAGTCACAAGATTCTTAAATAACTTGATTTTTTCTTCAACCCTTAAAAACTTTACAACATTTCTAATGCCAACATGCGATAACATGGCCCACAAGGCCCTAGGCAGTCCTGCCTCCATGTTGAGGCCCATCTCACACAGCTCTCCCTCAGGCTTTTCTTGCTTTGGTTTCTTGGCCTTTGCTTCTGTCCCAAATACTCATGTGTCCTCCTTTAATAAACTGTTTCCTCTGTGTGGAAAATCTCTCCTCCCCTCACCAGTAAGAGCCCATTTACTCTTCACATAGTTACATAGTCTATGTCTTCCTGATTGAGTTAAATTTCTGTAACACGTGATCTCTTGGTACCAATGTTTCCTCATGGTTCTATCACAGCTTGTTGTTGTTAGGTGACATGGAGTCAACTTCACCTCAGAGCAACCCAATGTCCAAGAGATCTAAGCTTTGCCTGAACCTGCACCATCTTCACAATCTCTGTAACTTTGTGTTATTGAACAATTACTCGCCGTCCCTCCTGGTTAACATTAATCTCTAGAGAACGGTGAGCCTCCGCGACCCAGCAAAGACTAGTTCATAGGAGGCTTCAGTCAGACATGCTGGATGATTGCATGAGTAACCGCCCAGAAACATTTGATTCAAATTCATTTTCTAGTGAAGTTCCTCAATACATATTAGCACTACTAGCTAATGTTCGCTGTAAGTAAACACATTCAAAGTACATACTTCCTTAAGATGTAATATTAGAAGACACAAAGTGTAGCTGCTAAAAGAATCATCTTTCTAAAAACAAATCAATAAACTTTCACCTAAGCCACATATGTTCTTTTAAAAACTCAACTATGTTTCAATTTAAACTATAAACAAAACCCTCAAATTAAGTATCATACTTACCTATGGAAACCCTATGAACTTGAAGAAACAAAGAAAGCGTTCAAGTCTTTTGTTCATAGGGTCTCTAAGAGTCAATGGCACTTAACAACAACAACAACAACAATAATAAATGCATTAAACACAGCCAGAATTTTAGTTATTGTGAGTTATGCTGATTTACACTGAGCTTCTAATAATGGCTGTTGTTAGATGTGTGTTAAAGGAATGAATAAATAGTGTAAAGATATAATTTATAAAGAGATAGAAGTGAAGATCTTGTTGAAATTTTAGGCGACAGAAACTTTCAGGAGCAAGAAACCTTAGCCCTTGTTTTGCTGTCCATCTATGCACTTTTTACCACTTGTTCTTATTCTCTGCTTCTGTCAATCTTCAGTGATAAAAAATTCAATAAAACCAAAGACTGTGGCTTTTAGTGTATAGACTATGGAACCAGATACCGGCTATGCTATCTTTGACAACAGGAATTGGAAACTATAGCTGAAGTGTCAGTGAAGCCCAGCACCAGGAACCCAATGCACACTGCCCAGTTCCACTTCAATAAATTCAATTAGAATCAATCCAGCAAGCTGACAGTATAATCTATTTTTAATATTATAAATAAGTATGTCCAAGGGCAAATCAGAACCACAATGTAGTGCAATTTCACTATCACTAGGACAGTGTTAATGAAAAATATAACAAATGTTGGTGAGAATGTTAAGGAACTGGGACTTCCATGTACTCCTGGGGGGAATGTAAAGTGGGACAGTCACTTTGGAAAATGGTTGGCAGTTCCTCCAAAAGTTAAAACAAACAAAGATTACTGATTACTTCAGAAAATTCTGTTAAATAAACTTTCTCTTCTTTGCTGACTTGCTATGTTAATTTTCAATTTATCTTACATTTATCAGTATTTCTGCATTTTACATTTATTCTGGGTTATTGGTCAATGATGGTGGAGTTAGTAGTCAACAATGGTTTTCTGTAGTTTCCAACCTTTCCCTCTGACGTTTTAAATGCAGTAATATTACGAAGAACTAGCATCAGCAAATAGTGAGCCTGTTCATGTTCTCCTTCCTCCTTACCCACCAGGACCCTTCTCCCCACCAACTATACAGAGCACCAGATTAGCTACTGGACAGTTTTTCCATACCTTTTCCTCTTTGTTAGCACAAACCATTTTCATTACACATTTTGTTTTCCTTTTCGTAACTGCATGATACATTGGGGTAAAGGTGGTTGAATAGGTCTTCACATTTTCTTTTCCGTATTTTTTGATGGCCTCATCTACAATACACATCAAAGAATGTCTATCAAAGATCCAAATAATTACATCTGGCTGTCAAAGAAGATAGATGACCAGAAACACATAGCTTGAATCACAACATAAGGTACTACAAGCAGAACCGAAACCAAGAACCTACTACAAAATAAATGTTAATGTTATGAAAGATACTAAATGTTGGCATCATTAAAGATTACTGTCTCTAGATTAAGAAATAAACAAAAAAGGAAGATTAAATGCAATCCATTTTTCTGATAGGATACTCAGATCAAGCTTACTGGTCATTGAGGCAGTTTCAACTCACGTGTTACAGAGTAGACTGTGCTGCACTGGGCTTTCTGGGCTATATTCTTTACAGACACAGATCATCAAGCCTCAGTGATGCTGGCTAAGAGTGAACCACCAATCTCTTGATTAACAAACAGCTTAGCACAAACTGTGCCACCCAAGGACTGACTGGATACTATACTCAGAAAAAATTCTTTAGCAGGGCACTGAGGTTTTAGCAATAAGGCCTGCAGTTTATATAATATTGTATCTAAATTTTTTCATTTTGGAAACTGTATTGCACCAACATAAGTGGAATTAGTGCTGACAAGTGGATGCATGTACAGAGAGAATGATTAAAGGGGGAAAGGTTATTAAAGAGTGTAAGGAGTCCTTTGTATTAATTACTCTTGTAACTTTTAAATTTCGATTTTTTCAAATTATAGACAAAAAAAAAGGCAAAGAGATAGGGTGATGGTGAGGGAAAAGAACTCTACTTTTCTTTTTTTTTTTTTTAGAACTCTACTTTTCAGTATTAGCAGTCAGGGAAAATTTTGGAACTCTGATTAAGAGACTAAACAAAAAAAAGAATAAGGCATAGAAGAATAAGAAATTAAGCAGGTTACTAGAGGACGGAGAAAAAGAAAAGATAAATGACCTTATTTTTAATACCTACCTTCTGTGAGTCCCACTGTCCCAATAGGAGGGTGACTGAAGACCACAGTGGGGATATTGTCATAGTCTAATTTGGAATCTTGTTTGCACTCAAAAAGTCTATGGGCAAGTTTTCGGCCAGCAGCAATTGCAACTAAAACGATATTTTAAAAAATCAGTATTTATCTTAACTGGTTTGTTTTTTCAAACACAGTAGAAATATTCTACTAGCCTTACATCTAGCTACACCTGCTAGTTCTGACAAAGTTTTATGCTAATGTTCATTATAATAATATCTGGTTCAATATAATGAAGAGTTATCAATGCTTCAGTTAAAAATTCCAAACTACTGGTTTAAGTGGATTTCAAATATTCTGTAAACCAGCCCCTGCCTTTAAGGGGCTTATTCACAACTTCATTATCCTGTAACAATCTGTTTGCTCAACAAAGACATTTTGACACAATAGTTACAGGCCATCTTCATTCTACTCTATAATACTCATTTCACAATATGATTTTTTTCTATTTAAAAATCAATTCTTCAGTCTGTTTTGTCTCTATTTTTTAAAATGTCTGAATACAATAAAAACATCAGTTTTTAATTTTGTTCCTTTAAAACTATGTTTTATCAAAGTAAAATATTAGCAGAATATATTAAGACAAAGGGTGTTCTGGTGGCTTAATAATAAGGAGTAGGTCTGCCAACCCAAAGGTAGGCGGTATGAATACACCAACTGCTCTGAGAAAGACAGATGGGTAATCTCCTGCCATGTGATTTACAAACCCACTAGGGGGTCAACAACTATGAGTCAGATCTGATTTGATGGCACATAACAACAATATAAGATAAAGAGCTAGAAGTGGTGACAGTTAACTAAAAAATGCTTTAAACTTAGTTTAAGCTTTGAGAGGTGGAAGTATAAGGCATAATCCTGGGTGAGTAAAAACCAATTATATAATAATGTGATTCTAAAGTTCTTCTCCAAAGTTACTATCTTCATCTATTACCACTTATCACTGATAGTGTTCTACAGGGCATGATCATTGTCTTCCTATAAGAATTTCAGTATTTACAAAGGGATTTTTTTAAAAAACGAAAATTTAGTATTATTCAGAGGGTGTCAAGTGCACAACCAAAATATATTTCAAGACCTTTTTATCATTTTGATGACAAGGATATCCTTTAAACTTTGCTTAAACTGATTTGACTGGGAAGAGCTGGACAGCTCTGAATAACAAACAGACTTCCTTTAATCAAAATAAAGAAGAAACTTTACCTGGAGTAAGAAGAGCTTTTCCACACACATCCCCAACTGCATAGATCCCTCTGACACTGGTATTCTGGAATTCATCTACTATGATGTGACCTTTGTCGTCAGTCTGAATTCCCTAAAAAGGTGAAGGGCCATCAAGTCAATACATGACTCATTTACTAAACATTTCAGACCAATCTTTAATATCAACCTTCTTTCACATTGGCACCTCTTTATTCAGACTCTCCGAGGAACCATAAGATTAAAAGCATTTAAAATTGACAGATTTCATACATTTTAATTTAAAAGGTATGCAATGGATTCAAAGTTGATTTTTTAAAAAAATATTTTTGTTTGTGTGTACCATCAAGCTGCATTTAACTGGTACAGGAGATTGTCCCTCCTTCTCCAGCAGAGCATCTGGTGGATTTGAACTTCATACTTCTGGGATTGCAGTGCAGCTACTTGCCATGAGACCACCTGAGCTCCCTCCCAAGTTGATTTTGCAAATGTGCAATGCAACTGCCCAAGAGCGAGAACCACTGATACTAGATAAGCTGGCACTGAACTATCCAACACACTACTGCCTATTTCTGTGTAGTCCATCCCCTTGATTTTCAACTTTTGCCACTGAATACTCCTCCTGAGATTTACAGTATGAGAACTCATCAAAAGCAGAAAGCGTCTTTGAAGTTTATTATTTTAACTTTAAAAATACAAATCTATTCGACTACTTTACTCATCCAAATGCTGAAGAAGAACAAGAAATCTATAAAAGAAAACATTGGGATTGTGTACGTATGTGTGTGTGTGTGTACCATTGAATCAGATCTGACTGATATAGGAAGAGATTGCCCCTTCTTCTCCAGCAGAGCATCTGGTGGATTTGAACTGCATACTTCTGGGATTGAAGTGCAGCTTTTTGCCACTAGGCCACCAGAGCTCCCAAGTGAAACAATTGTTAAAACATAAATTCAAATGTTATAGATTGCCTAAGAAGCTTCAACAGATATGTAAGCTTCAAACATGCAAAATATTCTAACCAGTAGAACAGAACAGTGTATCAGAAAAACCATCAACAGCAGCAGCAGCAGGTCAACAGGCATGGAGGAATAATATTTTTATTCCCACTCTGTATGCAATGGAGTTCTGGCGGTCTAGTGAGTAAGTAGTTGCCCTAACAGTCCAAAGGCTGGTGCTTTGAACCCCCCAGCTGCTCTGCAGGACAAACATGAGCAATCTTCTTCCATGTGATTTATAGCCTCTGAAAATCCTCTGAAAGGTCAGCTCTGAGTTGGATGCAATTACACAGAACAAGACAACAGAAAATTATATACAAAATAATTGAGTCTTACAAGATAAAGCTTAGAAAGATTATGGTCAGGGCCATGTAACTTGTACTTATAGTAAAAAGGAGACTTGAGTCAAACTTTGGAGATCATGCTTCAGATTACTATACTAGACTTTGTGTAAAAATTTAAAAGTACTGATAAAAATGTTATCTATTTGTGTATGAAGCATTGGTGGATTTAAGAGAGACTAGTTTCATATCTGTTCCATCCATCTATCACAATGACCAGGACATGATAATACATTCAGCAATCTGGGTTAGATGCTTCAGACAAAAAGGAATCATTAAAAAAATGCAAAAGTATGACAGTGAAATAGAGTGCAAGACGGAGATGGCTAGTCAGAAAACTGCTAGACAACCTTGATTAGCAGTGACAGAGATCTGCTCTAGGGTGAGGACACTGTTCTTGCTGCCGTGTACTGTTGAGTCAGAACCAACCCGTATCGCTGACCCTCCAGTGAGTATTCAGAGGCAATTAATGGCATGGGAGGAGAATGCCCACCCTTCTCCTGTGAGAAGCAGCTGGTGGGTTTGAACTGTGTGCCTTTGGAATTGCAGCACATCTTCCTACTACTAGGCCACCATAAAATAGCTTGAGTGTTTTTAAATCTCAAAGAAGTAACAGGATTTGATGACAAACTGAATATACGAATGAAGAGAACAGACACCAATACAAAACCTGTATTCTGAGTCTTATAAGGGGTTTGTGAATGGGATGTGAAGTCACAGGGCCACCAACAGATTCAAGGATGTTTATGGTGAGCTGCACTTTCATGATAACCAAAAGGTTAAAAGTGCAGGGCCACCCAGTGATGCCTTGGAAGAAAGATCTGATAACCTATTTTCAAAACACCAGCCAGTGGAAACCCCAGGGAGAAGTCTTTAGTCTGACACACACACAGCAGTCATGAGTGGCAGTCTCCTCCATAGCAACTGGCTTAAAATTAGCCTACCAATGAGCTTAAATTAAGGCCTCTGGAATTTGGGTCTCGTCCAATGGCCCACAGCAGGCAGTCGATGTCTGGGATTGTGTTAACGGTGGGCTTCCGACCAGGAACTGAAGTAATCATGCTGAGTTCCAAGCCTGATGATGTCTTCTTAACTTCTTTGACCTGTTGGCAAATAAAATGTGTTTAAATGGGAATGAAAGTTTTCAAATGAAAGCAAATAAAGGTGAAACTAGAATTCTCAACACTGAAACAGAATCAAACCCTCCAGTGAATTCTACCTGCTGACACAGACATTTACCCAAAGGCCATCAATGCTAGAATTTCCTAGGGCCAAGCCAGCTTCCAGGGCTGTCTCAACTCACACTGCTGACGGCCAGTAATGTCAGTCTATATCACCATGTGTCATGAACTGACCTGTGTCCCCTAAAATATTGAATCAAATCCCTAACCTCTGTCCTTGTGGAAGAGTTTTGGTTAGTGGCATGGTAGTTATGTAGTGGGTTGCTAACTGCAAGGTCAAGAGTGTAAACTCACCAGGAATGCTAGAGGACAAAGATGTGGATCCTGATTCCATAAAGTTTTCAAGCCTTTGGTGAAATTCCACTCTGTCCTACAGGGTCAGTTACAAATGAATCAACTCTAGGGCAATGGCTTTTGGTTTCACACTTGTGAATGTGATCCCATTTGGGACTAGGTTTTTCTTTGTTATGTTAATGTGCAACAAAACAAACAAGAGAGTGTGGGGGTGTGTAAACCTAATCTCTTATGAGATATGAAGAGAGCAGCCTGGGCACCAAAGAATGCCAGTGAAATAAAGAAAAGGTATGTGCCACATGGAGATCTGCAAGGAGCCACGGAGAATGCCAGAAAACCTGAAACAAGGGTTTTCTCCAGGAACGAACAGTCTTCTCCCAGAGTTGTGGCTGGGAATTGGGACTTCTAGCCTCCTAAACTATGAGAAAATAAACTTCTGTTCATTAAAGCCACCCACTCTTGGATTGTTTGGGATAGTGGTACTTGCAAACTAAGAAAGCATCAAAAAGTTTCAGTGTAAAGTCCAAGTGTCTAAATACGTAATTTTTAAGAGTCATAATAAAATTTTAAGTCCTATACAAGAAAGAAATGGGCTACCATATAGGAAACCTTTTCAAACCACACATTTTTTTTTCTGGTTATTCTTTATCAGAATACAAGAGAGGTGGTAAGAACGAGAGTTGAACATAGTTTAAATTACTGCAATGGTTCTAACATAATCTTGTTATTTACCTACAACCTCCTAACTAGCACTTTTATATTCCTAAATCATGTTCACATTTATTAGTTCCCTTGAAATGGCCTATAATGAAAGAGTGAAGCTATGAGAGGGGGGAAAAAATCCATTTTATAAGGTTGACTGTCCAAGTAAACATTCCAAATCACTCTTAAATGAAGTACAAGCAGAGTGTTCCTCAGAGGGAACGGTGGTAAAACTTCACTGCATTGACTTTGGGTAGATTTTCAGTCCTTGGAAAGATATCATGCTGGGAAAGGTAGAGGGTGGGAGAAAGAGAGGACGACACTCAACAAGACAGACTGACATAAAGACTACCACAATGGCCTTGACAATGATACAGGACAGAGCAAGGCTCATATCTATTGCTCACTGGTGCCAGTGTGTCAACTACGACTCATAGAGACCCTCCAGTAACACTCTCCAAGAGAAATCTGCTGAAGTTCAGGAGAAGCAAAGTACTTAAAAATCCCTTCTACCATTTTTCCCAAGAAAGGACAGTAATTTTAGATTGCTTCAAGTTTGGTTAACATGTTAATGGCAAGTGGTGGGGGAAATGAAAATTCTCCTAGGAAGATTTATACAGGTAGTCAAGTGCCAAATACTTCATTTGAAGAAGTAGAACTAAGTACTCTGTATGTTAATTTCAAAGATAAATCCTTTGTATTTCCAGAAGAATTATTAGTTATTTGGGAATTTTTTATTTTAGCTAATATAAAACCAAAACTAAACCTGCTGGTTAAGTTGATTCTGATTAATTATCACTTTCCTTTGCTCTTATAAGGTTCTAAATCTTTACTAGAAGAGTTCTTTCTGTGGAGTAACTAGTGAATTTAAACTACTGAACTTTTGGTTAAGTATCAATACATTATGTCCTATGTATATAACATATATTATGAACTATGCCACCAAGACTCTTCATTTTAACCAATAAGTATATAATTTCCAATCTTATAAACTCTTAACAGTATCTTACTGTCTTTAAAAAGAAGTTTGTTTTCTGTTATAGTTATTATGAGGACATGTATTTTAAGTGAAAGTCTAGGTGAGAGACTGTATCTTATAGATGCAAATTATGATAAATAACTGTATTAGTTGTTTATACAAATGTCATTAAAATACAAACAAACAAAAATCCCTTCTACCTACAAAACTCAGAAGGGTAAGGTTTAAAAATAGATTCTATAATAACATTTCCAGAAAAACAAATAAGAACCTGAAAAAGACTTTCAGTAAGACATTTGAACACAGTTCTCAAAGTTCTTATTCTAAGTCAACTGCTAAATCTCCAATCATGTATACTTTGACTTCATTAATCTACTAACATGATATATAATTTCCTAGGAAAAAAGACCTAACTGGGTAAAGCGTAAGCTAACAGATTCATAACAGAGAATGGTTGTGACCATGAACTGGGACGTACCTGGGAGTACTTGAGGACCTCGATGCCTGCATTCTCTAGCTCTTCAGTGCAGTTGGAACTGATTATAGAATCAAAATTTCTAAGCACCTGTATACAAACAGAGGCAGAAGAGGAAGAAGTGGTAGGAAATGAGAATAACATTGGATTAAACCTGTTGTTGTTGTTGTTACGTGCCGTCGAGTTGCCTGCGACTCATAGCGACCCTAAGTACAGCAGCCCTAAACTCCGCTCTGTCCTGTGCCAATCGCACTGTCTCTGACACTCCCATCCCAATTATCCCAGTCACTGAATCAATCCACCTCATAGAGGGCCTTCCTCTCCTGCGCTGTCCCTCCACCCTCCCAAGCATGATGTCCCTCTCTAATGACCGGTCTCTCCTCACAACATGTCCAAAGTAAGTTAGATGGAGCCTCAGAATCCTTGCCTCCAAGGAGCCACCCGGTTTAACCCTTTCCAGGACAAATCTGTTTGTTTTCCTAGCAGTCCATGGTATTCTCAATACTCTTCTCCACTCTTCTCCAGCACCACAGATCAAAGGCATCAATTCTCCTTCTATCCTCCTTGGTCATTGTCCAACTCTCTGATGCATAACAAGTGATTGCGAAGACCATGGCCTGTATCAGACAACCTTTGTCTCCAAAGAGATACCATTGCTCGTCAGCACTTTGGAGAGGTCCCTAACAGCAGTCTTTCCTATGGCAATGCGCCTTTTAATGAAAAAAAAAAAAAAAAGACATTCTACTCTGGTACCCCTAGCGGCAAGCTGCTGCACTACAATCCCAAAGGCTTGAGGTTCAAATCCACACACTGTTCTTCAGAAGGATGGGCAAGAGATATATTGGCTCTGAAAACCCGCTGGAGAGTCAACTGTAAGGCAGTTTCGACTGGAAAGCACACAACAACAGATGGAGCAAGTGGATTTTCTCTCTCGTATCCCCCTACTTCATTTAAGATCATAATTGTGAGCAGAATCTTAGTAGATCTTTTCGTTTCCTAAAGTTGTCACCAACCTCAGAACACCTTGTGACATCAACTTCTGGGTAAAAGTAGAATACTGAAGTTTTGGCTTCTACTATCTTCACTTGTTCCTCTTATCCTATTAAGACCAAGGAGGAGAAACTGTCTTTCCCTCTTTTGATATTCTGGGGCCAGTTTTCCTTCTGATATGATTTAAGGGAAGGGTCTTGGCAAATATGTTCTGATTTAGTCAGATAGCTCATTAGTTTGCCATGGAGCTCTGTTGTGATAACATGTGTGTATACATCCACACTCAACAGAGATTCTGTGGTATTCAGAGCATAGTTCTAGAATGGAGTTACACCAGGTTGGGGCAGAAGGAGAAAGTGCCAAAAGCACTGAGAGAGGAGAAGGAAGAGGAAATAGTAAACAAGCCAATTTTTCAAATGAAGGATTTTTCTACTGATATGATCTATTGTAGTTTCTTTTTTATTTAGTTATTCATTTATTAGGGAGCTCTCTGGTGGCCTGGTGGGTTAAGTGTTGTTATATCAGCCCAGAGGTAAGTAATTCAAATCCACCAGCTGCTCCACTGGATCAAGACAGGCAATCCGTTCCCATGCCATTTATGGCTTCTGGAAGGTCAGCTATGAGTGAGTTCTAACTCCGTGAAAGGAAGCCCCACCAAACACTGTCCACCACTGGTCTGTGCATTTGCTGTACAGAAGTAACTCATGGTTGCTGTGATGCTGAACACTGTGACACTGATGTGCCAAATGCAATAATGCTTACCCATGGTGGACAGTGTTTGGTGGAGCTTCCCAATTAAAACAAGTTTGGAAGCAGGAGTGGCATCTCCTTCCGAAATAGCTTACCTCCGGAAACTCTATCAACAGTGCTCTGGTCTTTCGTTCATAGGGTCGCTATGAGTCTTCTACGACCCGACGGCACTTAACAACAATAACAAGACAACAAAGAGAGAACTACGTTGGCTTAGTGGACAGAAAGTTATGCCACCAAGCCCAAGGTGGGTGATTTTACTCTGCGGCCAGTAACATTATTAGAGACATAAATATCCTGTCTAATTACAAGACAACTTTGAAAGCTAAAGAGAAAATTCCTTAAAGGACACACTGACTAGTATTACCTGTATTTCTTATCTCCCTCCATAAACTAATATAGTCAAGAACTAGGATCACAGTATTTGGGACCTGAGAAAGCCTGTCCTTGTGAAATGAGGGCCCAAAAGCATTAAGTGACTGGTCCCATTCAAATGCTTGTTAAGGACAGTCAGGTGAGGGACTCAGATTATTAGGCTAAAACTCTTATTACTGCCCCGTCGCATGTCTAAAAGTTCTAATATTGTGCCTTAAGAGTGGTATTTGGTAACAATTGCTCAATAATCTTACTGAAAGCAACACTTCATCAAGAAAGAGAACATGGAGGTTACATTTTAGCACAAAGACTAATTGCCTGACAAACACATGAAGAAATGTTTAAAATCCCTAGCTCTAAGAGATGTAAATCAAAAACAACTATGAGATATCATCTCATCCCAGTCAGAATAGCAAAATTTAACAGAACAGCAAACAACAAATGCTGGTGAGGTTGTGGAGAAACTGGAACACTTATTACCTGTTGGCGGGAGTGTAAAATGGTACAGCCACTGTGAAAGGCAGTATGGCGCTTTCTCAAAAAGTTGGAAATAGAAATAACATTTGAACCAGCAATTCCACATCTGGGAATATAAGCTAAAGAAACCAGAACTGCCACCCATGCAGATATATACACACCCATGTTTACTGCTGCTTTGTTCACGATAGCAAAGAGCTGGAAACAACCTAAATGCCCATTGACAAAGGAATGGATAGAGAAGCGGTGGTATATTCACACAATGGAATACTGTGCTGCACTGAAAAACAAAGAACTCATCATACAAAATGGGTGACCCTGGAGGACATTATGCTGAATGAAACATCTCAGTCACAAAAGGACAAATACTGCAGAATGCCACTGCTGTAAAACGGGACTGACATCGGGGTTGGGGGGAGACTGAGAAAGATAGGATAAATAATGTATACTGCATTGAAACAGATGAGGGAGAGAACTGTTTAAAAGGGCTATATGATTAGGTATTATTATCATGACAGGAGTCCAGAACCAAGGCTGCATAGTGGAGTAGACTTGGGGGGAGAAACTGTGTAACAATGAAAGAATTTTTCTTTACTTTCAAAAAGAAGAGTGAACTGGAGGTGAGGGGAGGTAGGCAGGGAGTAAAGTGCAACAGTGAATGAATGGAAAGAAAAAGCAAAGGATGTTTAAAAAAAAAAGAATAATTGCTTGACTTTCTGAGATCATAACTGGCTCTCAGTTTTGATACTTATTAGCAATCCCAAACTTCTCTTCATCTTAATTTCTTCAATAAATGCAGTTTGAATAGGTAATCTCTAAATTTCCTTTTAATTAAAAAAAAAAGCTTTATAGGATGTTTCTGTTAATTACCTGATCACATGATTTCCAGAATAAAAAGCTTAAGAGGTTTTAAGCTTAACTAGTATTTGTCAATAAGCCAGCATGCCTCCTATTATTACAGCTTCTGACAACTATTTACTATCTCATGATAAAAATACTAGCCAAATGTATTCAATCAAACTCATCATTAGCCATGGGCAGCAGTGTAGACCAAGGAAGTCAAACTCAAGTAAGTGGGAGGCAGCCACATGTGACTTCCACGTGCTTTGTTTGCACTCTAATGTGTAATGGCAACATAACAAAAAGTCCTCCACGGTTTCTAAAAACATGAAAACACCAACAACCATCAAGGTGAGGGAAGGGAAAAGGACAGACGTTACCTTATCATGCCGTATCATCAGCGAGGTCTTGGAACCCAGAGCTGAAAGGATCCCGGCGATCTCCACAGCAATGTAACCAGCACCAATAATGACACTGCGCCTGCAAGGGGAATGCACGTCAATTTGTAAAACACCAACCTTTTGATCTGGGAATAATTCTAGATTTATAGAAAAGCTGTATATACAGAAAAACCCATTGTCATTGAGTCAATTCTGACACATAAGTGACCTTGAAGGGCAGAGCCTGACTGTCCATTCAGTTTTCAAGGCTGAACATCCTTCTGGATGCCGCGTGCCTCACTGTTCTCCTGTGGAGACAGTGGGTTAGAATCCATCAGATGCTCTGAGGGAGAAACACGGGCAATCTCCTCTTGTGTGATTTACAGTCTCTGAAACCTACTGGAGGCGCAACTATGCGTTAGCTCAGACTCAAAGACAACGAGAGTTTTTTTAGGAATGTTAGACAGGCTCTGACAATTGCTGAGGCACAGAGGTCAACAGTCACTTCCGGAAGGGCGAGAAGAAGCATTCCAAGCATAAGGGACAGATAAGAAACAAGGGTGAATCAATGGGCTTCTTCAGGAACTGCATGTAGCTTAGTGTTCTCTTAGTTTCCAGGAAGATCTTTCTCTCCTATATGGCACTAAAGTATCCACTGGAAAGTATCGTTCATTCCTCCAAATTCCCAAGGCACTTCTGTTACTTCATTCTAGCACTCAGAACTAATCATGCTTTGCTGTTCCACACAGTCCCTCCTTTAATTCAGACTTCTTGAGGAATCACGCATCTCATGATTCTCTGCCTACATATTTGCTCTCTCCAGGGCTTCACACAGACTCATTATAGTTCACATCCTCTGCTGCAAATTTGACTTTCCAACCCAGGTACAGGAAATCAGAATCTACACTTTTAATAAGAACTGTAAGAATCACTTGAGAATTATTTAAAAAAGAAAGAGTCAGTCTGATAAAATATAGATTCTGATTCACCTTAGCTAGAGTAGAAACAAATTCTAAGTAGGGAGTCAAACCAGAAAGAACCAGTTTAAACGTTGAGATCTTTCCCTAATTACTTATTCACGAACACTGTAATAAAGACTCTTAAAGAAGAAAAAAAAAATCATGTATTAACTGTTGATTTACTTTCCCATGTTCCCAGAGCCTTTTGATTATCATATGCATGTCAATGCAAGCTTAATAAGTGAAGTTAATATAGTTTCGGGCAGATATTAATAATCAACCTCTTAAAGGGTAAGTCTGGATTGAATTATATCATCTAAGCCGGATGAGTCATGATCACATTTCCAAATATGTTTTCACACGTGTCCTATCATTCAACCCTAAATCCAAACAGTTCAGGATGGATCATGAAGAAAGGAAGCCTGTTCTCTATCAGAAACGCCTGTACCCTGAGATCAAATTAAAAAAAAATCCACCAGATTTTCTTCCAAACTCTTTCCAGTCAAAACTCTTTCCAGTCAGGGGACTGAGCCAGAACCCTCCTTTTCTGAGTATCTCAATGGGACATTTTCATTGGACTATGACATGACAGAGATGTCCCTGCCTGCTCCTAATTCACTGTCTGTGGCTCCAGGTGAATTCAGGTAAAGATCCAAGTGTGGAGTATTAGTCATCCTCCATGAAAGCTTTTATAAAAGCAAAGGATTAGGACTTCAGACTGGATTAGCAATGCACACTGAGGGAGCAGCAGTGTCAAGCAATCCTGAGGGAACGCTGTGCAGGAGGTAAAGGTCAATCTCCAGGCCAACAGGTGCCCCCCCGTCCCAAGGTACCATCTCTTCCATGAATCTCCATGACCCAGAAAGCCAGCCATCTGTAGCATTTTCCAATTAGAGCACTGGTTGTACTCATCTTTCTCTCACTCTATGTATCTAAATGCATAACAGATGCTTACTAAGGCTATTTTAACACAAAGAGCAATTTTAGAAAGGATGTTCCTGTGATGCTGACAGAACCTTCCTAAAGGAAGCATTTCTGCATGATTTGTTGCTGTCTTGGGCTGCCACATTAGGTCCAATTCATCCCACGTACAACAGAATGAAGCTCTGCCCAATCCTTTACCACACTCACAATTCTTCCTGTGCTTAAATGTGACAGTTTAAAAACCAGAATTAACATTATTTTAGACACATGATCAATGGCTGCAATATCTAGTTGAAGAAGACAACTTTAAAATATAGTCTGTTTTAATATTTGGCAACAAAGGCTAATTTTGTCAGATGGGCTTTACCACTAAATTACTGGTGAAGAAATCATTTTATATTTGATCTTGATTCAATCCAAAAGAGAGTAGGATGGCTTTTCTGTATGCTCCAGGTGAATTCAGGTAAAGATCCAAGTGTGGAATATTAGTCATCGTCCATGAAAGCTTTTATAAAAGCAAAGGATTAGGACTTCAAACTGGATTAGCAGCGCACACTGAATCGAGCAATCCTGAGCGAACGCAGTGCAGGAGATAAAGGTCAATCTCCAGGCCAACAGGTCTGCTGAGTCAATTCTGACTCAGTGTGACCCTACAGGAGAGAGTGAGAGTGCCCCATTGGATCACCAACGTTGTCATCTTTCTCTCATTGATCCACTGGTGAGTTTAAACATCTGACATTTCCGTTACCAGCCAAGTACTTAACCAATGTGTCATCACAATTCCTTGGAGAATGAGGAGGAAGATTCAGGAAATGCTTATGTTAATGACAGAGATGGAGCTGGAGAAAAACATTAGCAGGAGAGGTGGAGGAAACAGGGCTTCAAACTGGCCCATTCCTGCTGAGTATTTGCATTTCCACTCCACATACACTGAATCCGAACTTACGTTTTAACCAGACTGATTGCGTATAGCTGCGCTGGTTGGACAAATTCTCAGCAAGAGGCTGGTTCAAAGCCCTGGGCAGAAGAACGGGTTACTGAGATAGGGAATGAAACTAGCTTACCTAGGCAATTCTTCCAGTTGAAAAAATCCATCACTGGTTATTCCCAGGCTGGCACCTATGCAGGAAAATGGGATTGGTTACACAACACTGTATTCTCTTGTAGAATAATATCAACATTTTATGCAAGTAACAATCACTTCCTCAGCCAAAAGGCTCTGCTTTGACAACTTCTGTTAAAGTTTCTACTTAAGAAGCTGCCAAGTAAGTCTTCCCTGAGTCAACAATTTTTTTCTCTCCAGAAATAAGAGCCTGATAACTAAACAACTTCATTCATTCATTCAAAGAACCAAGATCTTCTCTGCTCTCATGAATATTACCCTCTGCTGGCTCTGCTTCACCCTCCCAACCACCCCAACTGTAGGAGCCCCCGGTCCTCTTCCCTCTGCTATCTTCCTCAAAGCTTTCGAACAGCTTCCACTTCCATGCGAAAGATTTCCAAATGCATCTGTCAATTCTGGTTCTATATTTATCACTATGCTGCTATGCAGATCTACTTTGTTTCAACTCAATATATTTAGAATTGAACTGTAACTTTATCTCCAGAACCATCTTCAGACAAATAGATCATCTATCCCCACCATGCCAAGTTCAAAGTGTGACCTATTAATCTGATTGCTTGTTTCACACCCCTTCTCAGTTCTTTATTTAATGAAGAACCCTCCCAACATTTTAACTCAACAACTTGTTGCTGTTTAGCTGACACTGGCTCATAGCTGACCCTCCCGGGGTGGGGCTGGAGGGGTCGCAGAGGCTGTAAATCACACTAGATTGCCTATTTTTCTCCTATGGAGCAGATGGTGGATTCAAATTGCCAGAAAGGCACTGCCACTGGGTTAGCAGTGCAATTCCCTATAGACATACTAGCCCTTGTAAGACTCACCAGGAATCTGGCTGTCATGAGGAAGCGAGGGCACACCACCCGTGGCGATCAGGATGTGAGGAGCAGTGTACTTCTTCCCATTGACCTCCACTGTGGGCTTGGGGTCACTTGTGAATGCTGCATAGCCATGGATAATATCTATATTGGACTGGAGAAGACACCAGAAAAATTATTACCTTGTTCTTACAATAATACAAAAACACCTGCTGCAACTTAGCAGGTTTGTGTTTCTTCTGAGAATTCTTCTTAGCTGATTACAAGACAATGTCTTATTGTTCTAGATTTCAGCATTACTTGATACCAAGTTGCCATTTGATGCTGAAAGGCATGGGAAAAAGAAAAAGTGGCTCTTTGTTGGGCCAAAATGTATGCAAGACCTATATGCAAGTGTGGTATGATGAATGAAGTAATATGGCCCATCCAACCACAACCTTCCATTTTGTGATTCTTGCTTTTTTGTCTATGCTTAAGGCTTTATTTGGGAATGAATACGTAGCTGTATTCTGGTGACCTAGTGGTATGGAACTGCACTGCAATCCCAAAGACATGTGTTCAAATCCACTAGTTGCTCTGTGGAAGGAAGACGGGCAACCTCCTCCCGTGCAATCTACTGCCTCTGAAAACCCACTGGAGGGTCAGCTAAGAGTCGGTTGTGACTAGACAGCAAACAACAAGATGGGGATAGGATTAGGGTGGGACAGAATTTGTAGTTTCACCCTACTCTCTCTCATGGTTGTAGAGTCAGAACTGACTCACAGTTGACCCTCCAGCAGGTTTTTAGAGGTTGTAAATTTCATGGGAGGAAATTTCCCTCCTTCCTTCCTCGGTGCAGATAGTGGATTTGAACCCCAACTCCTTTCCTGCTAGGCCACCAGAGGTGAAACAAAGTCCCCACTCTCAGTTCTCCTTGAGGTATGATTTATAGCACTGAGATCGCATACAGAGGAATTTTCCTGGGGAGCTCAGTACTGCTCCCTCAGAACACCGCATCTAACCAGGTCTGGCTGCTCCTACAGCAGCAACCATCAGCCTCAGCCTGCAGGCGTCTGGCCCATCGCCCTTCTTTGACATGTCCATCAACAACCATGTGAGCCAGTTCTTGATGGTGTTTCAGTTTCTGTGAGATGTTCCAACAACAGAACCCAAAGACAAAGCAGGGACTGAGAGGAAGAGAAATAATTGAGGTCAGAGATGACAGTGCTACAGCAGTTTTAAGAAGCCGGACATTTGGGCTATTTTTAATCTCTGCCTTATAAGAACTAGTTTTATATGAACTAATGTAAAAGATGTTATTGTGAAGCAAGTCATCCCTACTGGAAGAACACTGCCCCTTAGTCCTCAAGAGTTAAAGGGAAAGTCTTCCTTATTTCCTATTAAAATAGGCTGAGGGTATAGAGAGGCAGAATGTTGACAAAGTAGAGCTTGACCTGGTTCATTCTGGTTTGGTACACTGCTGAGAATTTCTGAAAATCACCTGTGAATTTTATTAAAATGTACACTCTGATTCAGTATACCTTGGGTGGGTGGGAACAAATTCTCAGCATGAGGTTGAGCCAACTTGAATATAAAGATGAAGGGAGTATAAAGAAAAGGGAAATAAAGACTCTAGCCAAGGGTGAGGGAAGGCAATCAATGCTTCTGTGTGCTTTAGAAAGCAGGAAGAATATCACAAAATTACAAAATAGTGAGGTCCGAGCCGGAGAGGCCGAGGATAGGCTTTCTATAGCATCCTCTCCCGCCAGAGCCCTGATTTGGGGGTGATCGACAGCAAACCTCTGCCAGTCATGATACAGGCACTGACAAACAAGTGTGGGCACCCTGCAAGGTTAATAAGGCCATGAAACCATGAACTCAGAGGGACTGTAAAATTTTGGAACCTGCTTGTTTCCAAATATTTCCTGCTTTCCAAACAGCACAACCCAGGCCTGTTCCTGCAGGTAGGTGCCCAGCTTAATCAAGCTGAGTCAAGATAAACATCAAAGCTCAGGAGTCTCGAGGCAATGACTTCTTTGGGATGGAAGACAAAAAAAGGAGGTGGGTAGAGAGACAGTAATACAGACAATAGTTTGGAGGAGGAGATGATCAGACTTTTTATTCCTTAAGCTATTAGATAAGGAGCCCTAGAGGTGTAGAGCGCTGTAGTTCAAATGGTAATGCCTGGTTCAAAGCCACCAGCTGTTGTTTGGGTCGAAGATTTTCAGCCTCAGAAATCCAATGGAAGGTCACCATGAGTCAGAATCAACTCAGTAGCACAGGGTGGGGTTTGCTTTTAAGATACTAAGACAGGTAGAATTTCTGAGTCAACTTTAAATAATTCCTTCCCCATATTTAATACTGGGAAGAGAAAGGTCACAGTGCAGTTCGTGGATACTAACAAATTCTATTTCTGCAGGAATGTTTTTTCTCTTTTGACAGATGTCTTAGAAACACTAAAGGGCATTCTACTCTGTTCTACAGAGTTACTATGAATCAGAATGAACTTATTAGTAGGTTTGGTTTTCAGCATTTTGCATTAGTTCCTTTTTTAAAAAAAATTCTGGCATGGATACTACAAAACAGCAAATAAAATCTCTTATGGTTACGTAGGGGCTTTAGACCCTAAAACGGAAGATTAAAGTCAGAGTAATAATATCCTTCAAAAAATAAATCCAAGGGAGCTCTGATGGCCTAGTGGCAAGAAGCTGCACTGCAATCCCAGAGGGACACGGTTCAAATCCACCAGATGCTCTGCTGGAGAAGGAGCAGCAAACGTCTCCTGTACCAGTCAGATCCAATTTGATGGTACATACACACAAAAATAATTAAAAAAAAGAAATGCAAAGAGTGGTAAGAATTCATACAGAAAGGTGTGAAGTTAGCCACTTGTAGAAGGAACTCACCCTAAAAAGTGATTTCTAAAGATTCTGCTACTATAACTATCCTCGTTGTTTAGTGTTCCTTGGAGAGAGGGACATGATGCTGGGAAGCGTTGAGGGTGGGAGAATGAGAAGAAGACCCTCGACCAGGTGGATTGACATGGTGACTGCCGCAATGGGCTCTTGTGTGTCAGGAAGTGTGATGATGGGTTCAGATCTGTTGTTCATAGGGTCACTAGGAGTCGTACTCAACTTGATGGCACCTAACAACAACAAACATTAAAGATGCTGCTATTGAAATTACCACTTAATTTGATTAGCTGGTCTAGATATCACCAAGTACATTCCTACCTAAATACAGCTAAAACTAGGTTGAAGTCTTAGAAACTGCAAAGGGACACCCATAAAGGTAACTAAAATATGATGGGACATGCACAGTCAAGGAGAGCTGGATGAGATAGTTTGTCAGCATTGCCAGCTGGTCCAGATGGAAGAGGCAAGACATCTGAAGACTTAGGCAGAAAAGGCCTCCGTACAGTAAAGGATAATGTAATGAAGGCAAACACACCTTCACTCAATTTTTTTTGTAATTTTTTATCAGACTTCATGCACATAAACAACTTTCTGATACACAATTTTGTCTCTTCTGAGATCCAACCAGCAATAATAATGTAGGTGTTAGGTTTTTAACCAGATTGTTGATGTTGCATGTTCTCAAATAGGAAGTGATCCATGGCTGACCCTCTAATGGATTTTCAGAGGCAGTTAATCACATAGAAGGAGACTGTTTAACCTTCTTCCAGGGAGCAGATAGTGGATTCGAACCATGTGCCTTTAGCACTCTCACTTCAATTCATAAACTGGCATGTGAAATCCAGCAAGAAAATTCCTATTTACAGAGACTCTACAAAACAGAGTAGAATAGGCCATAGTGTTTCCAAGGCTATAAATCTTTATGAAAGTAGACTATCACACCTTTCTCCCACAGAGTAGCTGGTAGGTTTGAACCACTGACCGTTTGGTCACTTAACCCTATGCCACTAGAGTTCATATAAGGAGGCATGTTGTCATTATGTGCCATCAAGTTGACTGTGACTCACAACAACACTATGAACAATAGATCTTAACTCTGCCCTATTCTGCACCACCCTCACCAACTCCAATACATCTGAGCCCATTTCTACAGCCTCTGTGTAAATCTGTCTTGTTGAGCATGATGTCCTTTTCCAAAGACTAGCCCCTCCTAATAATATGTGAGATATATGTGAAAGTATGTGAGATGAAGCTTCACCATCCTTGCTTACTGGTATAAAAATTAGTCTCTCATGTGTTTGATTTCTGAAGCTAAGTGGAGATCTAGGCCTTCTCAAAATACAGCCAATCAGGAAAGACCTTGAACTAACTATGACACACACTACTCATTCTACATAGAAAAGAAGTCTACAGAGAGAAGCTTCACTCTGGCAGGTCAACCCCACCATCATGAACAGAAAACCAAAACAAAACAAAAAAACAACAAACCAACCAAAAATCCAGTATCAATCTCTTCCTGTGCAATTAACTGCTTCTGAAAACCTGTCAGCTATGAGTCAGCTATGGGTCAGTTCCAACTCAATGGTACACAACATCTTTCAATATGACTTTCCTTAGTCATTATTTGACTTTGCTATGTAGGTAGATGGGACTATGCCAATGAGGAGTGTTAGCCTATCTATAAGCAGACTGGCCAGTCTCAACAATCTACACGGGGATTGGCTAGTCTCGCCATTGAATCGAGAAAGCCAGGAACAAGAATCAGACAGGTTTTCTGGCATCACCAAAGAAAAAGCAAGAATGTAAGATTATCTTTCTAGCTCCAGCTACACCTGCAGCACAGCAACACTTACAGCAGCAACACCTAAGGCCGAACTGGAGACCTGACATGAGATGGAACCTCGGGGGTGGTAGGGGACAGCCAATATTGACTTTTATGGACAACTTGAGGTGAGGAGCCCCAATATTGACAGGACCGAGAACTTGGAAATACTGACTGGCCTAAAGCTGTTGAGGCTCGAGGCTGAGGTGCCTGAGAACACATTTCAGGAGATGTCTCAATTGTATTGTTTTAATTCTGTATTAATCTGGATTATAATCTTTTGACCATGGTTCTATGAACAACTGCATTAGATTTTGGACCCAGCAAAGCAGTAAGATTGGTACTGAGATGAGCAGGAAAAGGTATGGGAGTGGAGGTGGGGCATTTTCTGACCTCTAGGGAATGGATTTAGTGTTATTGATACTATTGACAGAAACAGTATCAAATAAATCCCCTTTGTGGATTTGATAAAGGTCAGACATAGGTGTCTCCATGTGGCCTTTGCTCTTTTTACAAAGACATATAGCCAGAAGCTACATTCCAGTCTGGTCAGATACAGTAGCTCACTCCAGTGGTAAAGAGTTCTTTTGCAAACATCAAAACCCAACTTATTTTCTCTTGCTCTCCTTTTGTACTGACAACGTGCTGTAAGGTCTGACTTCACCCCTGTCTTCCCACAGGGTCCTTTCCCACTCTTCCCTCTTCTTTTTTTTTTTCACTTTTATTCTTTTGCATGGCCTTTCACTAGCTATGCCTCTTACTGCCTTAATAAACCTTTTCATTTATTTTGCTAAAACAAACAAACAAACAAACAAACACCCAAAAAATCCCAAACCAACTTACAAACCTTGGTTAGATTGTTTTGATAGATGGTATTCAGTCGGCTCACATAGGCATCTCGTTTTTCTTTTATAACACTGCAGAGAAACCGGAGTCATTACTGAGAAACAGGATTTTCTTCTTTCAGTCAGTAGCAAAGACATTGGTGCCTGAATACCCTTCAGCAGAGAATCCTGGACTGCCAACAAGAACTCCACTAGGTAAAATGCTTCTTGGGACAGGAACCTCTTCCTTCATGTCCATCTCCTTCCCACAGATAGGAGCTCTTAAACTAATACTGATTATTGAGAAAGTCTAATGGGCATAAATGTACATAAACACCTTTCTGCTTTAGCACATGGCCCACCATTCAATAAATATTTGTTGAATAAAATGAATTTGCTAAAAATTTTTGAAAATTTGTTCTTGTTTTTATGTGCCATCAAGTCACCTGTAACTCATAGCAACCCTATGCAACAATACTTCTGAAGCTTGCCTTACCCTGACTGTGACACATCTACCCCCATAACCCCAGTTACTGTGTCAATGCATCTCATCTGGGGCCTTCCTTTCCTGTGCTGTCCCTCCACTCTTCCAAGCATGTTCTCCTTCTCCAAGGACTAGTCCCTCCTGGTCACATGCCCAAAGTATGGGAGACACAGCTCCAAAACCTTTGCCTTCAAGGAGAAACTCTGCTTCACCACCAAATGGTGAAATAATTATAGCTCACTTTGTCATAAAAGAGGAGAAAAATTACATGAGTAGATTTCTGAGCATTTGACACTTACCTCCAATTGAATTTACTTTCACAACTTTGAAACCCATAATCACCCTGATCATGGATAAATTCAGAGTGGACAGCTGTATTCCACATTACCTGGAGAGAAAAAAGTCCCCAAAACAGCAGTGTGTGAGTTTTGAGAGAAGACTGAAATGATGAAAGAAAAGATAATCATGTAATAATGAACAAAAATGGGTTACTTTCACATGAAAAATAAGACTAAACCTTTTAAAAGAGAGCCTGTTACCTACAAATGGACTAAAGCACAGAAGTTTGTGAGGTGGTGCGGATCGGGCAGCATTTGGTTGGTCACAGGGTCACTATGAGTTGGAGTAGCTTATAGCCTCTAAGTCTTTCATTTCAACTGACTACCATGGTAACCAAACTAAAATAACTCTGATTTCTTTGTCCCACTAGCCTTCACGTCCTCTACTGAAGAGCCTTACAGCCCTTCTTTGTACCTTCCCCTTCGTGTGTAAGGATGAGTACATTGATAACCACAATAAACTTCATCTTTAACAACACAGGCAAAAAGATTTACTGAATAAATTATGCTATTTTTTAAATTAAAGCTAAAGAAGCTTTTTATTAAGGGGGCTCCCCGGGTGGGATTCCTTGGTCTGCAGAGAAAGAGACAAGCAAAGAGCCAAACCAGGGAATACCACACCCTAAGGTGGATTAGGGTTAGGACAGGTTTAGTAAGAGTTTTTAAGGAGGGAAGAAAGGGACATTAAATTATGCTATTTTAATAAACATTGCTTTACTCCTATCATTACAACGTTATCTTTTCAAAACTTTCAATCTGTATTATGCAAGGGAGGACACACTGCCTAATGAAGAGAGCTGTGTATGAACCGAGTTGGTGTTTGGGGCTCAGCTCTAATCATGGTAGCAGGAGCCAGCAGACCTATCATTCTGGTCGCTTCTCTATTACTGCTTTCTTTTTCTGAAAAGGAGTTACTCTTGGGCTACATTCTGTTCTACAAGAGGCAGGTACCAACTAATCCTTGGAATGAAAATCAACTTCAAATCATTTGTGTGTCAAGCTGATTCTGATTCATAGTGACCTTATTGTGATCAAGTAAAACTATTATATACAGTCGCCTATGCTGTACACCTCACAGGAGTCAAGAACTTAATTACTGTGCCTCTATGGCCCCTTTGAAATCAGTAAAATCCTATAAAAATATAAAGCAACTGTCTACAATATGCAACCAGAATAGAAAGTGTAAGAGAAACAATATGGCACGACAAATTAAGGCTACTATTCAGTATTAATGCCAATAGCATTTAAAAATAATGAGGTATTAACACAGCACCAATACTTAATTTACCACTATAACTGGGTTAATTACAAAACCATGCTATAATTAATCTACATAGTTTATGTATTTGTATGACTTTAAATAGACTAGATTCCAAAATCTAGAATGAAATGAAAATAATTTAGAAAAATGTCTCAAAATTTCCTACATCAGAGGAAATGAAACAAACAATTTAGCTACACAAAGGCAAAGATTATGGAAAATCTATCTGGAATTAAATGTAAGTGTGTGTAACTGATGACACTGCAATATTTGTTTAGATGATAATAGGAAGCTGCCAATTTAAAATGTAGTCTTGGCTGCAAAAGGTTGTAAGCTTGGGATTATAACATGTTTTAAAGTACATTCAAAGGAGGGGCAATATTACTTGCAAGTATAAGCAGGAAGCAGCTTTGGAAATAATGGTTGCCAATTCTTCCTCTTTGTCAATGGCAAAGGATGAATTAATTCAACGTGATGTTACAACAGCTATTAAGCCAAAAATCACTACAGTGGTAAAGAGAAACCATGAAGCTATACAAACACGTACGAAGAGACCTCATTCAATATTCTGGTTTGTTGGCTTGAGTTCCTTATTGAGGAAAAGTTATCGTATGTTAATAACTGCTGCTGTTTATGTGCCATCCATTGAGGACGACTCATAGCGACCTTAAGAACAACAGATCTGAATCCTGTCCTATCGTGCACCATTCTCATCATCTCTCATCAGTTCTAATTAATAGGCCCAGATATAATCTCATTCACTTTAAACAAAAGTTAATGTGTATTTTTTAAAAAATAAGATAATACCTGTGATGTTAGGTGACTAAGCTGTCTGATCATTTCTAAGAGAACCAATAAATTTGAATTTTCAAGAAAGTGAAGATGGGGACTAGGACCCAACAATTTAACAACTGTACCAACAGATTACTTACCACAGAAGTCACTATACAGTGAACCCAGAAAAGTTCCTCAAACAACTTGAGAAATACCATCTTCACAGAGGCTATGAGTACCCAAAGTCACATCATATGCACTTAATTTATGGGGGTGGGGGGAGAATCAAGCCTTAAAAGCAGTTCATCCTAGTCTGACCCCTGATGAAAATGTGCATATTTCCATCCTAGATATACTGAATTAGTCTACATTTTAACAAGTGATTCTTATAGGTCCTCAGTTTAGTCTTACATAAGCATCCATTGATTCCTATCAGATATAACTCAAGGTTTTCTTATGTATAACAAACATCACCTGATTCTTATGTTATATAAGAGTCACATGAGGATCTTATTAAAATGCAGATTCTGACGCAATATAAGTAGAAATGCAAATTCTCAGCAGGAGGACTGAACTGGGTCATTCCCTGGGGAACATATTTCTTTGTTTAAAAACAAAAACTAAGATTTAAAAAAAAAAACAAACAAAACCAACTTTGACACTTCTTGTCAGGAGAAAATCAGTTTGGTCTTCCTGAAAATGACTGCTTCTGTGATTGATTCACAAGAAAAGGTGAAGACCAAAGCCATTCCAGGTTTCCTGAGTGTTACAGAAACCCTGGTGTGAGAGGAACATCCCTCTATCATGGTCAAATACTCAGTGTTTTGGTCATGTTAACGTCTAGACTGCTAGCTGTATAAACCATTTCCTGCTTGGGCTTCCCAACTGATAAAAAGTGATCCTGTGCATCCAGGGCTTTTCTTTAATGCTTTGATTAAAAATATTTGGTTGATTTTTGTTCCTTCCAGACTATCAAAGTTTGAGAACCAGACACTATAATCCATTGCTGGTTACTGCCCCAATAAATCTAGTACCTTTTATCACTAGGGGAACTTAGCACATAGTGAATGTTCAGGATGACTTTTGCAAGTCTGATGTAGCTAATGTCCAGGAGCTAATATCATGATGATTATCTCCCTAGCAACCACTCTGGCCCACTGCCCTGTAAGGGTGGCTCAGTCCTCGCCTGAAAGACCTAAAGCAATCAGCAGGGAAACTGGTGTGAAAATACCCTGTCTGAAGCAGCCAGTGCCATTAGAGAGGTTACTGTTGATTACGTGAAGGAAAAATACATCGTTTCAGATGAATTTAAGTGGAAAGTTAATCTAAGGAAATATGTCTCTCCAGGCTTCTTGATAAATGACATGGAATAAATGCACATCAACAAAAACCATCCTCTTATTTAGGACATCTCTAGTTGAGTTCTCAGTTAATTATTACAGCAAGAATCACATGTGGAAACATACTTATTCAGATCATGATATAAGAAATACTGAGGAAAAGAAGCAAATGTTCTACCTTTTTGGGTACACATCCGACATTCACCTAAGGGGAAAAAAGAGACATGCTTTTTAGAACATTAAACCAAAATAATCTAACAAACTTAAAAGAAATAAAGTTCAAAAACCAAACCAGGGGGCATCATTGTGTTTAGTCATGATGAAGTGAATTCTAGTTATTTCCTTTTTCCTTTTCTAGAACTTAAGAAGGTAAGTAATCAAAACAAGTATGAGATATCATCTCAACCCAGTCAGAATAGCAAAATTTAACAGAACAGCAAGCAACAAATGCTGGAGAGGTTGTGGAGAAACTGGAACCCTTATTCACTGTTGGTGGGAGTGTAAAATGGTGCAACCACTGTGGAAGGCAGTGTGGCGCTTTCTCAAAAAGTTGCAAATAGAGATACCATTTGACCCAGCAAATTCCACTACTGGGAATATATCCCAAAGAGACCATAACTGACATTCAAGCAGATAGACGCACACCCATGTTTATCGTGGCTTTGTTCATGATAGCAAGGAGTTGGAAACAACCCAGGCGCCCATCAACAAACGAATGGATAGAGAAGCTGTGGTATATTCACACAATGGAATACTATGCTGCATTGAAAAACAAGGAACTCATTCAATATTATTCAAAATGGGTGAGCCTGGAGGACATTATGCTGAGTGAAATATCTCAGCGCAAAAGGACAAATATTGCATGGTGCCACTGCTGTAAAACGGGACTGATATCAGGGTGGGGGTAAGACTGAGAAAAACTGGATAAATTGTGTATACTGCACTGAAACAGATGAGGGAGTGAATAATTTAAAAGCGATGTATGATAGGGTATTATGGTTATCACAAAAGTCCACAATTAAGGTTGCATAGTGGAGTGTACTTAGGGTGGTGGGAGGGATGCGGGGGGATTGTGTACCAGGGAGGGAGTCTTTCTTTTACTTTTGAAAGAGAGGAGCAAACTGGGGGGCAGGGGGAGAGGGCTGGGCAGGTAGAGAAGTGCAGCAATGAATGAATGGAAATCCAAATTCTCTGTAAACGTTCATTAAAATTATTTAAAAAAATTTTTAAAAAAAAGAAGGTAAGTAACCTTTTCTTTTTTCACTTACAAAATTAGATCATTTATTTATCCGTCTTTTTCACACGGAGAAAGAAAAATCCATTTCTATGGTTTTGTGCATAGTGGAATGACCCCAGACCAGGAGGTAGGAGAGTTCTGAACTCACAGAGAACCCATTGGAAAGGAACTGATGAGAAAAGAAATACAAAAATGTTATTTGGGTAGCCGATTTTGTTGCTTTTATGTGCCCTTGATTCGGAACCAACTCATAGCTAACTCTGCAGTGGATTTTCAAGACTGTAAGTTCCTGAGGAGCAGTAGGTGGACTTGAACTGCCTGCCTTTGGGTTAGCAGTGCAACTCCTAACTACTCAGAGCTTCCAAGTGGAGTTTAGGTGGATGATTTTTTTTATTCCATCACATCTACTTTCAAGAAGATAATCACTTTGCTTTTCTACCAAAATACATGTCTCCTAGATATCATATATTCATCCCTGTGTTAGGAGTTAGATAGCTTTTAATCTGAGGTAAAAGCAGAAGGAAGGGGGGTTAAAGTTAGAACCAAGCGCCTTGCAATTTCAGCTAGACCTTGTTGAATAAGATATTAGAACACAGCCTGAACCCATATACAATAAAATGTGAACAAGAAGGCAAAATCTATTCCAGTCAGAGCCAGGAGATGCCACCTGCATATTACCTTTTAAAGAAGACATCAATGCCTTAGAAAGCTGCCATGTGCAGTAAGAATTACCTGCATAGTAATCTAATTAGTACCCAAGAGAGCAGAGACTGACCGGGTGTTGAAGCCTCCAGCAACATCATACCTTCGGCCCAAATACCACTCAGCTATGCTGCATGGAGCTCACCTATGAGAAGCAGACTGAAGATAGAAGCATCCTCACAGTCTACTGTTCTCTCCACTCCTAAGAGTGACCCTTTCTGCTCCAGAACATACTCTTCTTTCTCTAGTAAATTACCTCTACTTTCTCCTCCACTCTTGTCTCCTTGCCTTCTCTCTGTGCAAAAATCTCTGGGCTATAACATCAAGCAGCAGCTGCCTTAAGAGTCACTGACATTGCTGTATATTCTCAAATGCCTACATGGTGGTGCTGACCTTCCTGTTGTCTCCCACTCAGCTCACTTCTCTCCAGGCAAGAGAGACCAAAACCAGGGCATTCACCACATGGTAACATTTTGGTGTTGTAACTTGGGAATTACAAACTGTGTGATTTGTACAAATTGTGTTGTAATGCCTGCTGCTTTACTAATCGTGTATTAGAAAGTAGGTTGGCCCTCCATATGTCCAAGAATACACATCCAGCTCTTAGAATGTGTTCTGAGCATGCCTATTCAGTGAAATATGAACCAGGTATGCATTTACCACAGAACTTGAGGTGAACTACCAGGTTGAAAAGAATGTGCCCAAATCTCATTAACATCTCTGAAAGAGGTGGTAACATTTATTGAATAATAACCTTCTAGTCCTCTACTGAGAGAGCTCTAGTGGTCTGGCCCAAAGGCATGCAGACTGAATGGACCAGCTTGTTCCTCAGGAGAAGCTTGGCAATCTCCTCCTGTGAGATTTACAGCCTCTGAAAACTCCTTAGAGGAGAAGCTTGACAGAACTTAACAATCATCCCTGGAAAAGGGCATCATGCTTGGTAAAGTGGAGGGCCAGAGACACAGCAGAGTGCAAAGACAGCACAAGACTGTCATGAGTCTCAGTCTCTATCTTGCTGTTGAGTAGAAACTGACTCATACAGGTTTTGGAGCTATAAAATTGCAAGGGAGATTGCCCATCTTTATCCTTTGGAGCCGCTGGTGGATTCTAATTGCCAGATAGGTGGGGCTTCTGACTACACTGCCAGAGATCTACCACCTTAGGTTCATATGGCAAGTAAGGCTGCCAAACCCTTTAATTGGCAGCCAATGTTCGTGAAGAGGCTTTAAATGAAAGACTCTCAAAATCATTTTTCCTAAAGGAGAGGCAATTTAAGTTTATTAAATGTTCTCTATTTATGCTCCGGCCTTTCAGAATAACTGAAGGTGTTCTAAAGTACTAAATGATGTGAACTCTAGATTACCAATCCACTACAGTGCATTTTAATCTATTTTAAAGATATTTGGGCAGCTTTTTTAAAAGTCTGAACTATTTGTAGTGTTAAGGTTGTCTGTTACTGGTAACAAGTATAGGACTAAATTAATTTTTGAAATATTTGGGGGTTAAATATATGAGGCATTTTCCAAGGCAGAGCATGGAGTGCATGCAATCTCTGCTCTCACAGTAACAGGGAATCCTTGCAGAAAGGCAGGCTCTGACTTCATTTGTGATTATGCCCTTTTCTGGGTCAGAGAATCTGTGCAGGCATAGCACCCTTGGGTCCTGAGGCTTGGAAACTCCATGAAGCAGTTCTGTTCTGTCCTGTAAGCTGGAGTCAACTAGATGTCAATGGGCTTGGCCTCAGCAGCACCTGGGTATGAGTCTGCAAGGGATTCCACTGATTTTAGAAACCCTCTAGAAACATGACTGGCTATTAGATGCATCCTTGATTCGCAAGGAGAGGGGAGAAGAGCAATTAGTTGCCTAAAGAGTTTAGATATCATATTTGAGCACACCTATTCCTAATTGATAACAGATTTGGTAATATTTCTTTAGCCCAGTGGCTTCTCATGCAAACAAAATGCTTGTTGGGGAATAAAAGGAGGCTAAGTTCACAAGCTGTTCCCTATCTGAACAGAGCAATTGTGACCCTTGATTGCAAAGAAAGTTTGACTCTTGGTTTGGGACATTAGCACTCTGCTTTCCCAGAGACACACATTCCTAAAACCTGGAGCACAACAATCTCTGACCTGGAAAACTCCTTAGCTGACTTCCGCACTCTCTTGGTGGGCAGGAAATAGTGATAAGCTCTGAGTAACGACAAGTTTTTTTTGCCCTTTCACATTCATCATCAGAGGGGGTCCTGTAATTCTGCCTTCCTTTCCATACTGAAAGCTCAGGTGGTGTAGGGTGTATGGAGGTGCACTGATAACCCCAAAGCAGTGCATCTCTAATTGTTCAAATCCACCGATAGCTCTGCTGGAGAAAGACGGGCAATATCTTCCTGTGTGATTTACAGCCTCTGGAAACCCGCTGGAGAGCTATGAGTTGGTTCCAACTAAATGTCAATGAGTTGGTTCTAAACTAACAATACATCTCTAAGAGTTTCCTTCTCTAAGCAAACTGGTGTTCAGAACTTTATACTCAGATGCCTTTCAGCATCAGTTCACAGTGCAAAGGACAGAGAACACACCAGAGAGGGGGAGAACACAGAGAAAGGCTTCTGATAAGATGGCAACATTTCGGGACTTCCCCGTATTTCCTAGGAACTCTGCCTCCATGGGTAGAAAGTTCATACTGCCCATGAGGGTGGTGAAACAAGACTGATTCATTTATAACTGCAGCTGCAAGAACATCACCTGTTCTTAATAGTGAACTTCCTTGTAGTTTCTCACACACACACAGCTGTACCTTCAGTTTCCTGTCCCTTTTCTTCCTCCTTTATTGCCTTAAACTCTTATTTGTGACCCGTACAAAGCAGCAGCATTGAGAAAATGAACACATTGTTAATTCATCAACTCATTCTTTCAATAAGAACTCAACTATGTGCAAGCCTTACTCTAGAGCTTAGAATATAGTGATGGCTCAAAAGAGATAAAGAATCCCATCTCCATGTTTCACTACTTCCTTTACTGAAACAGTGACTAAATAAGAAACTGTCTGGATGTCCCTGGCACGTAGTAAATGCACACTATGCACGATAAATCAAAGCTTTTTTATTTCAGATAAAGGTTAGTCCAGGAAGGTACCTGGATTAAGGAAGAAAGAAAACTAAATATTCTATGCAAAGCAGAATCCAAGACAGGCAAATGAAGTTATACAGTTCAAAAAATATAAACAGATGTTGTAACAAATATAGTTAGTGCCTCAATTCATGACTAAATAAA